GTCCATGGTATCCTCAGCATCCTTCTGTAAAACCACATTTCCGTTGCTTCAGGTTTCTTCTTCATCTGTGAGGAGATTGTACAGCATTCACTGCCATATAGGAGGACATATCACATAACAGTTCAGTACTCTTTTCTTTGTTTCTAACAAAGTTTTTCTCTCTCTTAATGCTCTGCTTAGCTTTTGGAATGCATCTTTCCCAGTGAATCTTTGGATTTCAGTGTCACACTTTCCATCCTATATCAAGAAATATCATGCTATACTCTTTACAAAAGCCAGACCAAAGCAAAAATGGAGTATTGCTGTCTTATCTGTGCTACAGCTGCTCAGTCCACTTGCCTGTCTTGATAATTGAAAAGTGTCTACACAACATTATCGGTGATGAATTATTTTCCACCCTGCAATCCCCTTTCCCACAGACAAAATGTCACAAGCCTCTTGCTACCCTATCACTATTTCCATGGCAAGTGTTCTAACATTTCTTGTTCCACCAGCCTTGACCATTACAGCTGTGACCCATCATGCCACATGCACAAAGATGAATCCTCCTCATTCTCATCGTATTCGATTAATAAGAAGTAAGTTTCACTTGAACATCTTCTTCCCAAGAACTGCTGCTTTGTTAAACAGATTCCCAGCAAGATGTTTTCTCAATCACTACAATCTTGACTTCTTTAAGTCTAGGGTTAACTGTTATCTTTCCTATATAACCTCATTAACTGCACTTGCCTTTTCTTACACTCATATAGTAACCTTCTACCTTGAGTGTCTCTTGGGCTTTATATTGGATGAACATTAGTATAAAAAAATCTACATGGCACGTGGAACTAGAACAGTCTACCCCAGAGAGCAAAATAAAGGGTTCAGTTCAACATTCCAATCACCTGAAGAAGGACAGAGCATACAACGGCTGAAAGATTGTGATAAATATGGCAACAAAGATGAGTACGATAGTCCGAATAATGTAAATAGTGTACATAATACCTCATGTCAGAAATATAGACAGAAACTTCTGTTTTATATTAGATTGTACCATGAGAAATACCAGGTATTAATAAAAAAAGAAAAGTGTCTGAACTGTTATTATAACAGTGAATGCAAGACAATCTTCTCACAGATGAAGAAGAGATTTAAACAACAGACATGTTGCTTCACAGAATGATACTGAGAATGCCAGGAACTGAATATGTGAGTAACAAGGAAATTTTAGGGAAAGTGGAAACAAAAAAAATGCTTATACTTCTTTCTTCATTATACTCCACATAATGAGGAAAGAAGGCTTGGAGAATTTGACACTCACATGACATAATGAAAGCAAGAGGGGAAACGATGAGTAACTTAACAAGCTTATGCAAACAAATGACAGAACAGGAAGTAGGAGTGATGGTGAAAATAAAACGTCACTAAGAGCTACAAAAAATAGAAAGTTGTAAAGAGCTATAATCGCCCATGTCTCGTAGAGACATGGTACATAAAAAATGACAATGATGGCTGTAAATGTTATATTTAGTGGGTACACACATTTAAGTAGACATCTCTGTTTTTTAAAAGTGAAATTAATTTTTATTGACTTAGAGATCAAGTCATAAGAAAATGTGCCCCCTGAGAGAAATTGAAACCGTATTCCATTTTTAATCTGAAAAACCACTTTCAACCCAGGTGTCCTTTACCATTAAGCTACTAGGAGCCATTACATCAAATCAAGGCTCAATTACCCAACTTAAGAAATGCACATCTCCTATCAGGATATTTTGAAGTCTATATCTCCTAAATTTATTTTCATGCCCAGGATATAAAGTAATTTTTAAGCAATTAATGAGTTTTTAATCTGGCATAATTTTCTTTATTATTGTACTTTATGTTTAGTGGTTACACATGTTTGAGTAGACATTGCTTAAAAATTACATTGTTTACATTATATTAGAATAAACTGATAATAATAAATTTATTTATACAAACTATAAACTGATGATGACTTTACTTTTTAATATTACAACTGAAAGTGCAATGAAAATGCATATTCAGAGTTCATAATAATCAGATTCAAAAATAAAGACAAAAAGGAGTTAGAGTAGTGGATGGGGTGTAACCACTTGACCTGAAAGAAAACGAAAAAAATAAAACATTTAAAACGAGGTTGCTACCCATATATATCTCAAACTTCCTACAAGTAGGGTGCTGGTTGAAAAATATTATATATTTTTATTTTAATCATTTCACTCCAAGCAAGATGAAAAAAATCATTAAAAAACAAATGATTACTGAGTGTGAAAGAAACTTAGAAAATGTTATTGAGAGAGAGAGATAGAGGACTATAAAAGACCAGATTTCAAGAAAACAGAAGATGACAATTGATGTTGCATTTAAATTTTTGAAAACCATAGTTGACAGGAAAATAAGAAACTGAAGGTGAGTTCCACAACAAAATTTATGGTTGCTTCTAGCAATTTCAACAGTAAAATGATTAGGCTTAGCTGCTAATCTACTATTGCACTTAAATTCATGAAGTTAAGGTACCAAAGAGGAAATCTTATTATAACAGTTACTATGAAAATATTTATAGTTAAGGCACAGGAAAGCCATGTTACAACAGTGGGAAAGCAACTGAAGGTGAGATGCCAGGTCAGGGCTGTTGACATTGCATATTCTTCTTTTCACAAGTGGTCATATAATATATCAATGTAAAGGAAATTTTGTTCTGATTAACTTTTACAAATTAATTGGGGTCTAAAATTGCATAGTTTTTCAGTTATTTAGTATTTCCTATAGATAAATTCTGTAGTAGAAAATGTACAAGCTTGTTAGAAAACAGAAGAGAAATGGCAATGGCCCATATGAGATCCATCCCTTTCCAACTTGCTAACTATGAAACCCTGGAATGGCAGCTAACAGATGAAATAAAGAATCACTTCCAATTTAGACCTATTATATTCCAGCACCACAATTCACTAGAGGAAAGAATTGAGTGAAACTTTGATTTGTTTTCTATGGTTTATCAATTCTTTGCAAGTTACTTAAAGTCATAAAATATTTTTAGATTGTAAAATATTTTTTTGCTAGAGAAAATAATTTATTGATATAAGTCTTACTAATTAACCTATAGCTTGGTGGAGCAACGGTGGATTTATACCTTTCCAAAAAGTATTTGCACATAAGTGAATATAACAAACACAAGAGAAATTGCTTCTCGGCTTTCCAGTTAAGAATTCTGAGCCATTATCCATTGCACCACCTACATAAACATACTTACAGAACCTTGTATTACCAAGCAGTCACTCGCCTAGTACTGACTAGGGTCAACATTGCTTAACTTGGTGATTGTATTTCAACGTGATGTGGTCATAAGCCTGAAACTTTGAAGTTGAATTCAACTAGTATCATGCAACTCAATAAGATGATACAATTTCTAATACAGTGAATTCCCAAACTCAAAAACAGCTTGTCTTTCCACAGTTGAGATATCAAACAATGATGGCTGTTCAGTCACAAATTTCACATAATGATTTCAGTGTATTTCTTTCTTGTAGAAACTTGACATAGGTATTGGTGCTCCTGATGCATTCTATTGATTTTCCTTTTAATGGAGTTAACTGTCAAAGGATAGACATAGGCATATGTCCAGTGTAAATTCAGTTGAATTGCAAATTCTTTTGAGTTGTCAGAATTATGATTGCCAGTGTGCATCACTTTAGTAGATATCCAAGACTTCATTTCCTCTAGACAATAGTCCATTTCTAAATTCCTCAGCAGTATCATATCTAATGTGCAGGTGATAGTAACATCAGTTCAAATCTCAATTTTAGACTTTGAAAAGGACTACTCACATTTCAAGAAAATTGCATTTCTCTCCAGTAATTTTTGGTTTTTAATGCAATGGTGTTGATGAAGTTTGGTCATCTATATTCCTTTCATGTATATTTTCTCTTGTCACAAGTCATTCAAACTCCACTTCCTCTGTAAATATTTTGATGTATTCTTATCTGTTATGTATTCTGCCAAATCAGTAACTTGCAAATGCCTGAATAATATTGCTCTTTTATACAAAAAAACAATGGGATTAGGAGATGAAAAATAAATGTGAATGGAGATATGAATTTATCACAGGAAAACAAACAATAGAAATCAGTTATTGGCAGACATCAAAGTAATAAGACTTATATTAATGTAAATATGATTGATATGAATAAGATCTACTACTAAATGTAAAACATGGTCAAATATTTAGAAAATGTTGTCTATAAAAGTTTAATAAACTATGGGTCATTTAACAAATATGCAATGGTAAAATATGATAATTTGACCCATCCACTTCTCTGTGTAAAGGTAATTCTGTGTAAATAACTTTGAATCAATCAATGAGCATGTAATTATTTCATTTCTTCCTTTGGCATTACATACTTACTGAATGACCCTTCATTATGTGCTGGCAGACAATGCAAAGAAAAGTTAGTTATCTTTCCGAATTTTTAGAAAACTATTAGAAACAAAATCAGACAGTCAATTGTAAAATCAAATTCACTTTAAAATATTCTCATTCATCTTCTGCAAACTTAATCTAACTGAAAATGACAGGATAACAAATTATTTTTTATTATTATTTTTTAATTTTATTTAACTCTCTGAGGAGAGCTTTATGCTGAATTATCCAAGTTATTATTACTGTATTTTAAACCAAACCCACCTACCAAAGAGGATTTCAAGAATGGCTGTGGCATGGCTAATAAATCAGTTATTCACATGTTTGTGGCTTTTGTGTTTGATTTTTTTTTCTTTTTTTGCTAATAAAATTGGTAGCCTTCAGTTTCCAACTTTACTGCACATTGTCAAATCAAACTTTTTGGCATATGAACTAAATATGTATCAGCTTTTTTTTTTTTGTTTCACATCTCCACCTTGATCCATCTAGGATAAAGGAAGAGGCTTGAAGAGGAAAGAAGAAAAGGGGTTGAGAGACCTACAAAATTTTGATTTCAACACAAATGTGTTTCTTCTGTTTACAGGAACTCACTGGTTTTGGGAAATTATTTGCATGCTACTAAATGGAAAAGCAATGTATCTGACTGGCACTAAAGAACAAGACATGATGGAATTTATAATGCCTGATGTCTTTGAGAAACGCCAATCACCACGAATCCTGAACACCCACCTAAGACCAAAGTACCTTCCAGAGAAAATGGTCAAAGAAGGCAAAATTATTTTGGTAGTGAGAAATCCAAAAGATGTTATAGTTTCAAATTATCGGCAAACATATGGCTTGAAGGTCCTTGGCTATGAAGGTTCTTTCCCAAGTTTTTTTGAATCATTTCTGGAAGGTAAAGGTAAGTAATCATTTATAACTGAATATCATTTATGTATAATATTGCAATGTCATTGTTTTTTCACATATCAAGTGATACAATGATAGGCTGAAAAGAAGTATAACATCATTACTCTTCACTTAGAAGGAAGCACCAAAAAGGTACATTTAATTAGTGACATCTCAGATTTCTGTTGTTCATGTAAATGTTTTGATTTTTATGTATAGATAGATAAAAAGCCACAACAGAAACCAGAAATGTGTTTTTAAAATTTGATAGACAAGTCTCTCACTGCTTCTAAAATTAGTCAGGATAATTTGGAGAATGATGTTGCTGACCAATTAAAATGAAGGAAACATATTTATGAGGGAGCAAAGCTCTTCAAAGAAAGCAGTCACAGTCATGCAAAGGTAGAAATAACCACAATGATGGATAGTCAATGGCTGATATCAATAAAAAAAAAATTGTGTGTGATATTTGTAGCTGTATTTGACCAGCCATATACATAGCCATTTGCTTAGACCTCAAACTGACATGCAATTTCTCCTGATCTAGCTTGCACAATTGGTAATAATATAGAAAAAGGTTCAGATTAAGCATGTGAAATCTCACAATATCAGTTTACAATTCAGTAATCTATCAAAATGAGTTTTTGTGCAGTCTTTGCAGAAAAGTGTATACAAGGGTGGGCTGAAAAGTTCATAGGCTGACTATAAAGAATTGATGCTACAGCTGTGAAGTCTTGCATGCATTTATTTCAACTCTTCTTATTAATCACTTCTTATTAATAACTTTTCAGGTAAAATGACATCTTACTGTTCAAAGACAATGAATATAATTAATTGCAACTTATCTAGAAAATGGACAAAATTTAGTATCATGCTATTACCAGGTACCTGCAGCAAAAGGGTTTAGCCCCCAAGGACATTCATGTTGACAAGATTGATACATTAGGGGATGCCACACCAGCTTTATCAACAGTAAAAAAGTGAGCAGCTGAATTTAGAAGAGGAAGGGAGAATTTTGAAGATGACCCAAGGTTTGGACGTCCTGCAACTGCTACATTATTTTCACCACAAGATGATGGATGATAAGCGACTATAAATCAAATAGTCAATGCTTTTAGCATATCACATGAGGGAGTTGGGCATATTCTGCACAATAAACATGCCATGACAAAGGTTTCTGCTTAGTGGGTGTAACATCTAAAATCTGATCAAAAGTGCACCAGACTGATCACATCATGGGAAAATTTGAAATTTTCTGCAGTGGATTACTACTGATTTCCTTGAACATTTCCTAACCCAGGTTGAGTGTGGGGTTCATCACTTTGAGTCAGAAACAATCCATGCAGTGGAAACACCCCTCCTCAAAAGAAGGCTAAAGTCATTTCATTTGCTGGGAATTTTGAGTTTTTTTTATACAAAATGCATTGTATATATTTGCTATCTTCAAAGGGGCCACATCATCAGTGGATTGTACTATGCCAATTTGCTGAAGCAATTACAAAAGGCTATCAAGACCAAAACGCTCAGGAAGACTGATGAAAGTGGTCTTATTTGATCAGGACAATGCACCAGCACAAGTCCTTGGTTTCATTGGCTGCAATGTGTGATTGTGGCTTCGAACTGGTAGATCACCCTCCCTATCCTCCTGATTTGGCCTCATCTATCATCTGTTCCCCAACATGAAAAATACTTGGCTGGCAACCAGTATTGCAGTTATAATGTCATATCTGCTTTTGATGACTTTTTTTAATCAACAGGATGAAAGCACCTTCACTAATGTGATCCAAGCACTGCAGCACCAATGAGTGTGTGGACAGCAAAGAGTGGGTGGGAGACTATGTTGAAAAATAAACCTCACTTCATTACATTCCATGAGAGTATCTTGGTCAGCCAATGAACTTTTCATTTGACCCTCATAAGATCAGTGTGAGTAATAAAGAAATTGAACATATTAGAACCAAGGAAAAAACAACCTAATCCAAATTCTTTATCGAATTGAATGACAAACAACTTACCGAGAAAGAAAGATTTAGACATTCAGTTTTATTAAGTGAATTAATTTAGAAATTATTTAAATTCTATAGAAATTTGGTACAGCGGAAGTGAAAGGCAGGATGAACTGCCGGTAACTTTCAATGAGGCTGCCTGTCCCCATCGATAAAAAAGACAACGCTTGGTGTGCTGCATATTTGCAGGAGAGGATGGCTGGCATGAACCCAAGAATGTCTGCTTTCAAAAAATATAGTTGTGGTGTGCTGAGCAGTGCCTAGAATTTGTTTATACAAATAATTTGTGTCTTGTATAGCAAAATTACTGATATTTCTGGGTTCAATGTAAACAGATGGATTTTCTGTTTCGTTAGCGAGTGAGTCACTGGTGTTACTATCGTAAAGAATGTTGTGATTATGATTTCCTTTTTGTTCGTCCTCACTTTCTGTGTCCCAGTTACATTTAACCTTTGTTTGTTCTCTTCCTGTGTGGAATTCTTCATCGCCATGGACGCGTCTCTATTTTATTTGTCTCCAATGCTGATGTTCATTCCATCTCTCTTCCTTTGTGTTCCAGCAGCAGAAAAACATCTTTCATTTGGCTTACAGATATATAAGTAACTTATATGAAACATATACACACACACACAGAAACAGAAAAAGTAATTCAGATTAGGCTGTGTTTTGTATATGGTAGAATCAACATAATGTAAAAGGTACATTTTAATTCATTTTTAAAGAAAAACATAAATATTTTACTAAAAAGTAGCTCTGCCAGTTGTGCATCAAGCACTTTTTCAAAATCAGCAATACTACTTAACATAGCTTCAGCAGTATATATGTGTGTGTGTATATATATATATATATATATATATATATATATATATATATATATATATAATGAAATGGACAAAGTCCAACAATTATTTTAAGACATTTTTATGTTTATACATTCTTTTTATAGATACAAATACTTAAGTAAATGCTCTGTTTATAATAAACAGTATTAAACATTTATCGGCCTGAATGTCCGAGAAATTTTCACAGAAAATATTCGTCCTCTGACAGGATTTGAACCTGTATCCTATATGGAACCGTCATTTAGCTTGACGTGCCTTTACCGATTTGGCCACGAAGGAGCATTCGGTTAGCAAGGTCAAATTTACTGTATTTGAAGTTTAAATACAGTAAATTCGACCTTGCTAACCGTCTTTTTATTTATATATATATATATATATATATATATATATATATATAAAGGCAGTGTGGATATGGGGACCAACACAACATCATGGCTGTCAATTTTATGCCTCAATGCAATATTTAACCCTACAAAATTGCATTGAGATATGAAATAGAGAATCACCACATGCAATGTTGATGCATATATCCACAAACAATATTTTCAATATTGTTTGGGTCAATTCTTATTGGTCATTTTACAAACTTATATACATAGAGAATTATCTAATGGTTTTAAGACACATGATTTGTAAAATGACCAATAAGAATTGACCCAAACAAAACTGAAAAAAAAGTTGTCTTTTTGTTTTCTCCCGATCTCTTATGAAACTTTAATATAAGTGAAATGTTAGAATGATATACTTCTCTTATGTTGTTTATTTTATCCTGTTGGATTCTGATCTGCACACATATCCGTGTGTGTGTATTTAAGCAGCAATGGTTAAGGCAAACTGTTGATTTTAATAATATATATATATATATATATATATATATATATAAACAAACATGCATCTGTCTCCTGCATTGACAATGTGCCACCTTATTTTAGAACAAACATATTGAAGGTCTTCATTTTTCAAAGATTTACACAATTTATTTTATTTGCTATTTCAGTCCACTATGGAAGCTGGTTTGATTATATTAATGACTGGATGGAAGCAAAGAAAAATAACCCAAATATTATGCTTGTAACATATGAAGAGGCTAAAGAGGTCTGTTTTTTGGGGGTTTTTTTCTTCTTTTACTTTCTTCTACTTTTGTTTTTTCTTAAGGTTTCCATTTTATCTTTCTGCATTTTTTTTTCTCAATGCCATTCATTTTTCTCAATTCATATCAAGGCAAAATAGTAATTATTTTTCTTTTTTTACCCTGTCTAAACTCCCAATGACAAAAAAAAATGCAAACTGGTGGAAGTTTGGTTTGTATAAGAATCCATTTCATGTGACTCTAATCATCAGAGAGCAAATATCAGCATCGTTCCAATTCTTTACACATTCAAGCTTAGACATTTCCAACATTTTGTTTGATAGTAAATTGTTTTATGTTGATTCAAAATTCTTTTCATTTAGAGACATGTTGAGATTTTTAAATTATTTTTTATCTTTGAATAACTTACATTACATTATACAATCAATGACACTAGATTGGTGCTAATGACTTTAATATTAATTATTCTTAAATGTCAAACAAAAGGAGGCTTACTTGAAAATTTGTGTATGTGAATTATATAAACATTTTTTGTGCTTATGCATGTGTCTCTATAAATAATTATTCATACACACATCTGTATGTACATATATCTATAAATTGCTGTGTATTTTGTCAGCAAATTTTAGTTCAAACCTGCATTGAATATTACATATTAACACTTATTCAGAATTAAAAGTACTTCTCTGCAATTAAAACAATTTACAGGGAAATGATGCTACCAATGACATTTACTTATTAATCACTTTTCTTGACTCTTACTTAGTACAAGTTTTACTGTCTATATATAGTAACAAATAAAATTAAATGTTCTATTTATAAATAAATAACATTTAATTATTTGCTACTATTAACACTATCTCTATATTGAGCACTATAACTATAAAGACTTTAAATGTGTTATCTTCCAGAAATACACTGAACATTTTTTTTTTTTGAAAGGCAGTCTCTGTTATATATTGAAATTAATTCTGCATGGTAACTGTCAGTTTGATACTTCAATGTGTCATTGGCAATTAAGCTAGTCCCCTAACTTGGCTTCACTGGTGAAGAGAGTGACTAGACACACATAGCAGGATTAAAAGCAAGAACTGTCAGAGGGTGGATGTAACATCTTGTAGAGTCAAAAGTCATTTAGTACAATGTGATAGTCTGTGCAGTGATGACACAGCATCACTGGGCAAGGGACTTCCTAGATTGAATACCCTTGATGGAATCAATAGTCACATATCTGTGACCAAGATGAGCCTTCAAGGAGGCAGACATCAGCTGTGGTTTGACCTGTAGTATGTCTTGAGCAAGTAGATGTAGACTTGGTAAAATCTACATCTACTTTCCCAAGACACACTACACATGATTGAATGCTTCTCTGGGTTTCATCTCAATCATGGGGCTGATGAAAATGATAAATAAAAATTAGTCCAAAAAAATGTTATCATCTATTTTAAAGTAACCATTTCCCCCCTCAGTAATGCACCATTTTCTATATTGCTAACACCAAACTTGTACATCTAAATGAATGCAGAAAATAAAATGATAGACAATAAAAAAAAATCACAAAAAATTGTTGCAATTTATTGCCAATATTTTTTTTCTCTTCTTCATATATTCATTTTAAGGATTTGCCAGCTACTGTGGAATGTTTTTCAAAATACCTCAATTTGAAACAAAATGAAGAACTAATCAAGAAAATTGCAGAACTTTGTACATTTAAATCTATGAAAACTGCTAAGGAAGACCTAACCAAAGATATAGACATGTGGAGAGAAGGCTATAGTTTTTACAGATCAGGTTAGTAACCCTTCCAGCCATCTTGTTTGTCTCTATTTCTTATAAGGGATAAATTAATGAACAGAGAATTTCTGATATTTTTTTTTGTGCAACATGACATGCTATGAACATAAGCTTATCTCCTAAAGAGATTAATTCTTGATTGCAGGTCAAGAAATTCATGCATAACATACCTCATATTTCAGACATTTTCATTCTTTTTGTTCACTCTGAAACAACAAATATACACTTTTGCCATTATGAGTAGAATAAAGTTTTAGCATTTTTGATTTTATCAAAAATAGAGGAGTATTACATTGCTATATCATATCTATCTTGCTGTATAGTAGTGAATGTTGAACAATTTCCTTACAGATGAAAAATAAAATCAAACCAACAGAGATACCAATATATGCAGAGAATACCACAGACAGAACATGTGAGTGCCACTCACAGGGCATATTGAAGAAAGGAAGGGTAGAATTAAATGACTAGCAACTTACCTAATGAGTTTGTGTGAATGTATGGCAGAGCAGGGACAAAAAGTGACTTATCCAAATTCAAACACTGTTACAAGGGACAGGAAGTTGTGGAGAACTGTTATCACCTACATCCTAAAGACATACAGCATATTGATGATACTTCAGCTGTCCCAGGAGACCCTTAGTAAAAGGTTTTCCTTATGCATTTCACAGATAAAGCAGATATGCATAAAAAAATAAGAGAATTAACAGAACAAAAGTTCATACTCATATGCAGGATGCATAAAAATCCAAAGATGGGACACTGATATTAGAGAAAAAAGAAATACTTCAGAGATGGAATGAATACATTGGAGAAATATTGAAATCTGAAGTGGAATTAGTAATGGCCAAACTGAACAGAAACAAAGCAGCAGACTAAATGTAATTGTAATAGAGATGCTAGAAGCCTTAGGCGATTTTTGCATTGACAAGATTTACAGACATAATGAATGAAATATACAACAGTGGCAATATACTGGAAGACCTAAGTAAATTCATATTCTTAGCACTATCTAAGAATCCAAGTACAAAAAAATGTGAACTACATGAACCATGTAACAAAACTTATCCAAATCTTGATTAATAGAATGTGCAGCAGAATCAGTCAAGAACAGTGCAGGTTCATTAAAGACACTGGAACAAGGAATGTGATATGCTCAGAATGACATCAGAAAGAGCAATACAAATGCAATAGAATTTATACCTGTTTTATAGATTATGCAAAAGCATTTGATAAGGTAAAGAACTGCTAGGTAACCTTGACATATGTGAGAAGAATATTAGAATAATCCAGAAAATATACTGGCAGCAAATTGCCTGCATACAGATAGGAAATGAATTCAGTAAATATACAAAAATAAAAAGGGGTTGTAAGACAATGATGTGTATTCTCAACAGACCTTTTCAACCTATACAGTGAGGCTATTCTGAGAGAATTAGAAGTCCTACCAGGACTCCTGTTGCTAAGATTGAGGCCACCTATAATAAGATATGCAGATGATAGTGTTGATGGCAAATGCAGAAAGGAAACAAGGACACCTACAGAAGCTAGTGAAGGAAAGTGAGAAAAAAAGGACTAAACATCAATAGCAAGAGTGAATGCATGTTTGTTAGCAAAAGGAACAGCCTAACATGCAAATTACAGATTGGGGATGCCAAAATCAAACAAGTGCAACAATTTAGATATCTGGGAGGCATATTAACAGGACAGAAAGTGTGACACAAAAATCCAAAGGCACATTGGGATAGCAAAATTTGCCTTCCAAAAGCTGAGCAAAGTATTAAGAAACAGAAAAATATTTAAAACAAAGAAAAGAATACTGAACTGTTATGTAGCATCAGTCTTCCTATATGGTAGCGAATGTTGGACAATCTCCTCACAGATGAAGAAGAGACTTGAAGCAACAGAAATGTGGTTCTATAGAAGGATGCTGAGAATACCATGGACCAAACATGTGAGCAACAACAAAGTTCTAGAGACAATGACAACAAAAAGGACACTTCTACTTAATATCAGGAAGAGATAGTTGAAATTTCTGGGGCAGATAATGAGGAAAGAAGGTTTGGAAAACTTGATACTGAGATAACAGATTGAAGGTAAAAGAGACAGATGAAACCTACCTGGTGATCTAAAGTGAATGTATGGTGGAGAAGGGTTTGGGAGAGATGGCAAAAAAATTGTTAAGAACTAAAAAGGACAAGAAATTGTAGAGAGCCATGATCGCCAACATTCTGATTTCTTCAGTTTATATATGTATATGTATATGTATGTATGTATGTATATATATAAATAAATAAACTGAAGAATTCATTTCACTGGGTTAGAATAAAAGTATGCTGCATTTTTTAAAATGGCTTTCAAAGACAGTATTTATATATGTGTACATAGATTTAGGTATGTTTATAGGATGTATAATGGTATCCAAAACAAAAGTGGTGATGAGACAAAATGGAAAAGCCATAAACAATGCGTTTTGCCAAATGTCTGTTGATTTTGGCTTCTTCAGGTCAGAATGCACATAATGGTAAGATAGACATTAGCTAGATGAAGACACCACTGTCACTAATGTTTTATTATGTGGGAGGTATTTCTGCCACACTGTATATATTCTTCTGTGTGTGTGTGTGTGTGTATATATATATATATATATATAAATATAAATATATATATATATATATATATATATATATATATATATATATATATATATATATATATATATATATATATATATATATATATATATATATATATATATATATATATAAAACAAACTGAAGAATTCAGTTCATTAGATCACAATAAAATTACATGAATATTGGAGGCTTTTGCTTGTTTCTTTAAATTTACATAGAACAATACCTGATACTACCGGGTGTCTGGTTTTTTTTTTTTTTTTTACAAAGGTCAGCTGACCAAAATATAAAGGTAAGCAAACACATCAGTTGGTAGAGACTAAAAGACATGCTAGTGTACCAGAATATAATAGCTGGTTGGCCAGCTGTTGTATTCCATGAATAGTGTATTGACAAGTGATAAGGTCTTGGGGTTCAACAAGGTCAAGAGATTAAATATTCTAACAGGGCATTGGCCCTGGTTTAATGTTTAGTTGCAGGAGAATGCAAAAATGGTGATTTGAGGTGATTAGAAATAAATCACATTCTCCATATGCCCTTCTCCCATGAGGAATGTCTTAAGTAATTAAGAGGAAAATGAGGAAAGCAGTTAAAATTTACATCAGATATATAAAATGGAATTGATGAGGGAATCCAAGAAAGTTGAACCCCAAATGAATTTGGTGAAAAGTTGGAATTTCTTAAAGGTGGTCTTCTTTCCCTGATAATGAAAAAATATTTGCCTGTGTTTCCAATCTGAAATTCTTAATACTATAATGCTAAGCCATATGGTAATTCTCATTAAAAGTTGGAAAAATGTTTTGCTGGGGCCTATTTTGTTTTTGGACAATGGACATTGAAATAATCCAGATGAAAGTGGAAATTTTTATTTTTCCATATATTCATGTCAAAAATGGAGAAAGGATGTTCAAGGCAATCACTTATATAAACTGGTGAAACATTTGGCTTCGGAAGTCATCAGAAAGATCTCAGAATGATGTGCTAAGAAAATCCCCTCTCAAAGAGAGGAACACATACACATCCTGTGGATGGAACAAATACACAGACATAAATTTAACTGTTGCAGACTTGCTGAAGGGCTGGAACAGAAGCTACTACTACTACATTATCAATGGCAACCAAAAAGGAGTAAAATTGAAGCAATGGAAAACAAAGACTTCAGAAATATTCAAATCACCATTTTACTATCTAAATGTCTAGATGATGCATATTTGTATAAATTCCCCCCTCAATAAATTTTGAATTTTTGAAGCAATCTTTTACCTCACTTTGACACTGGGGACCACCTTATAGGATCACATGAAAAACAAGTTATCATACTCCCTCGGGTGGTAATAATCTCAAAGATGAAAAGAATTTAGACAGAATATAGTAATGAGAATATTGAGTTGAAAGAAATAAGCAGAAACTACAGGTAAATCTTACAATTAAAAGGAAAATGTTCTGTACATGTATGCTTCCAGGCCACATTGACAACCAAATTACTGGATCATTTAAGATAAAATTTAGTCAGAAAAGAATGCATATTAGCTTTAACACTCCAAAATTACCCTAGTGGATTGTACTATGGGAAAAATAACCCAGTATATATAAATATGTACAGTTTACTTGATGGTTACAAGTTCAGTCTGTGTTAGGCAGTGAAATCCATAGGCTCCGCTTCCGTTAATAGAAGTGATACCACAGGAGCAAATTAAAAAAAAAACTTTTTGTAATATTTAACTAATGATCAATTTATTCCCTGAAGGTTAGTACTTTCATGAGAGTTATTAGGAAAAGAAAGGGAGTGGGGGACATGTGTTTGAAAACGTTACTAACCAATCCATAAAACATTTCTATTTTCAGGTAAAACTGGCACTTGGAAAGATTGGCTGACAGTTCAGCAGAATGAAAAAATAGAGGAATGCATGAAGAGTAAATTGAACAGTCTTGAAATTGCAAAGATGTACATGACATCTTGATATTTCTAAAATTTACTTGGGTGAAATAAAGAAAACAATTATTTTTTTTTTTTTTTTATTCCCAGTCCAGAAACTGGAATTAATACATCCCTCATTTAAATGCAAATAAAAATACGTATATATTTTTTTTTACTTTTTTGTAATAACATTTAACAGTGATTAAACATAACCAACTTATATGTTGCTTTTGTAACAAATCTGATAAAATTGTGAGATTAGTATTCCAGAAAAATGTAAGATGTATTGCTAATAAAATAACATTTGAAATTGTTATAGCTAATTATTTCTTGTTCAGTTTAATCCTATGAACTTAATCCATTCACTTCTAATCCAATCCAACAGATAATCCCATGTTAATCCAATTCACTCTTTTTACCCAAAATTTTTCACACTGTCATATTCTTGTTTGTTTCTATTAGTTTCATGTTTTCTTCCTTTTTGTTACTGTTAATCATTTACCATAAATATTTTCAAGTTATTTCTTACAGAATTTTAACTTCATATACACAAATTACTAGTATTGCCATATTTTTATTTAAAAAATAAGTGATGAACATTATTTTATGACCAGATTTTGAACAATGTTAAGAATTGGAGAGATAAAGGGGGAAAAAACTTATCTTTTTGAAAATATTTTAAACTTTCGACACAGTAACGAATATAAAACACTTAAGTAGTGACATATCAACATAGGATAAAGTTTAACTTTCAAATATTAACCATGTTAAAAATTAATGCACAAATTAAATTAAAATCAACTTTTTTTTCCATATAATTATAAAAAAACAAAAAAAAAAAAAATAGTGATCCTCATCCTCAACTTTGTAAACAAAATGCAGTTTATATTACAAAGTCTCACAAGCATGGTGTATTATATTTCAGATAAGAACTGGAGGCCCATTTCAAATCTGACAGTTCCACTAAGAGCAACAATTTTTAGTTTGGGTTTGTGATAGTTCACTGCTGTAGTCAGTTTAAGAAATTCAAAGTTAAAAGTAAAGATTAAGAGTTTAATTAATTTGATCCAAAAAGTTTTCCTTTTAATTTTGATATATTTTTTTCTTATTACAATTAATGTCATTTTTGTGGAACTTGAGATTCACCAACTCCAACCTGCATTTATATTTTAATATTTGAATTAATTATGCAGCTTAAGAAAAAAAAATAGCATAAGAATTGTCAATTCTGAAACAAAAATAAGAAAACAAAAACATGAAAGCAATTTTTTTTTCATTGTTTAGAACTGAACTATTGTTATACTAACTCATTTTGTAATAAATATATTTTTTATAATAAAAGTACCTAGAAAAGAAATTTACTCTTAAAACCATATGGTTTAGTCACATGGTTAGGGTTAATGTTACACTAAGTTTATGATATCTAATATCAGATTAAATTTATTGAATTATGACATTAATATTATATAACATATCTTATAAATTACTATATTTATTTATTTTGTAGTATAAAAATATTACATTTGCCCTTATTTTGTTTTTTTTTAATGGTAAACTAAAATTGAACATATCTTTTTATTTTAAATACCATTTTAGAAAGAAAAAACAAATTACTTATAAAAAATCAAATTTTATCATCAATATATAATTATAGTTTTAAACAAACATATAAAAAAAAATATTAAATTAATTTTATGTGACAAATGACATTTTAAATGAATTCTGCAGTATAAAACAGAATTAAGGAAAAGTCTGTTAAAAATTAAACATTAAAATTAACTTTCTTGAGAGACTTATTTGTAAGACTAGAAAAAAAATCAGATTAAGGAATTATTTCTTTAAATAAAGTAAAATTAAAATATTACAGTATAAGTGTGGTAAAAATTCAACATGATAAAGTTGACCATTAGTGTATTTGCTTTTATGAATAAAAATTTCATAATGGTTAAATTAGCTTCAAAGTAACAAGATTCTTACATTACATTTTTTCTTTAGTGATTTTCCTACAAAAAAAAAAAAAAAAAAAAAAAAAAAAAAAAGTGTGTTTTTTTATAATAAACATGAAATAATATAGTATGTCTGAAGGAAATAAAATAGATCTTCTACTTACTAAATAAGCTAAAGTTGTTCCAAGTGTAAAAAGCAAAAATTTTTTAAGCTGACTACAGTAGCAAACCCAAACTAAAAATTGTCACTCCTTGGGAAAACAACAAGAGTTGAAATAGGGATCCAACTCTAGACCTCACTTGCACCATAAGTTGACCTGAGGTATAGAATATCATGCTCACAAATAATAATTAAAGTTTAAAAGCAAATTTTGTACATTTAGCTATCATGCATGCAAATTACATAGAAATATATTAGAAATTTAATTTTTCAAACCTTGATTTTTTAAAGAAACTACTAGAAAAAGGATTAAAGGCCAAACTTCTCATACACAAATTAAACCTATTCTATTTCCTGACCACTAATAATCCCTTTTTCTTTCTTTTGCACAACATACAGATTCAGCACTAAAATTTGCTCAAACAAGTTCTAAATTTTACAAAATCTGTATTTAATTGTTAATTTCTTTTCTCCTTTGCAACCAGAAATATTTTGTTTTAGCCATTTTCTACACCAAGACAAGCAGATGGAATTGCAGAACACCCAGTGAGCAACTATAACAAAAGCCAAAACCTTGTCTTCACCTTCTGGGTTCAAATGCAGTTGATACTAAAATTAAAAACATGAAAGTTTCACCACCCCCACCAGTCCCATGTTTTGCTGTATAAAGATATACATAAGCATTTGCGTAAATGAAAGTTCTGATGTACTTGGCAAATAAATTTCTATTTATTAGATTAACAGGTGCATAAATAGCTAGTGGATATATATATATATATATATATATATATATATATATATATATATATATGTATGTATGTGTGTGTGTGTGTGTGAATTTTTTCCTTATATACTGAATCCTCTTCAGTGTTATAATTTAGAAATAAACTGATGTCTGGAATAGATGGGGCTGTCTGGCTACTTAAATTTTTGACATTTTCCCCACAACACACACACACTTTAGTTTATTTTCCAACTTGTCTGTTTATTCCAACCTACCCATCTCCCCTCCTCCTAGAAACAAATCACAAATTAATTTTCCAAACTGCCCTTCTATTCCAGACTTAAGAATATAGCATTATTTGTGCTTCATTATTGGTGAAAATATTTTTAAAAATAAGACTCATCATATGTAAGGCATATTGAAGAGAAAAATAGCAGCTTATAAAACTGTCCATTGAAAATGACTTGTTCTTACTTTAGTCTAGCACAAGGTTAAATGGGTCTCATAAAAGAGCTCTGCCAGCCTGCAAAAGCCTGCATTTAAAACCATGACTTTTTAAGATTTACAAAAATTGTCAAATTTGGTACAATACAATCTTCCAAATGTAATGAATCTGCCTTAAGGACCCATGACATCAGTGGGAAATTTACAACTACTTAATAAAAGTTGTAAATTTATTTATTTTTATTAAATCACAAAAGATTCAGATCTGTGCTCCATACAATTTTATAGGCAGAGGATAATATTCAGAAACTAATTGATCTAATGAAGAAATCTGTCAATTCAAGCTTAACACAGAAGAAAACATGACTAAGAACAATACATATTCCATCCCTTTCAGTTGTGGCAAAGGATGCAAAGTTGAAACCATTCAAATCCTTTAAGTAAAGCTGGGGGAATATCAAAAAGCCATAATTAGGGGCAAGACAATGAAATCAGGTATGGCTGATCATGTATTGAGAGAAATTAGCAGTCACAAACCTCTGTTGAATGATGTAAAATTGCTGGACAGGGGATCAAATGTCTGAAGGAATTAGCACATATACTAGACTATAAGGGCCTCCTCAGTTGGTCTAGCATAGAAATAAATGCCCAATGAGAGCTGTTAATAAAGAAAGATAAATAACGACAAAAGCTTCAGCCACAGAAGTAAGAATGAAAGCTACAGTGTGGCAGCAGTAAGCAAGATAGAAGAACATTAGGTTTAATGCTCAGGACAATAGTCAAGAGAATTAAATCATTGGTTTGTGAATCTGGTGACATAGTAGTCATGTATTCAATCCCTGGGCTGGGCAGTACAAACTTAAATTTAGCAATAACAGAACATATGCACTAAGAACAAGATATCTGTAAACATGGACAGTGAAACTACCCTCTGTATAATAAATTAAGGGGTCAACCTGAAATTCCCTAAAGGTTACCAAATCAACAGGAGGGCACAATGGTTGGAATGTGTGATAATAACAAAGATAAAGACAATAGTCTGAATATAAATAACAACTCCTCATCTTAGAAATTCAGACAGAAAATTGTAGGTATTTACAAAGCATTGCTTTGTTTGGTACAAGGCCACAAGTCCTAAGGGAAGCTGAACTTATTAAAAAAAAGCTTATGAAATGTAAGCGATCTGGGATTGCAAAAGAAATGTTTGTCGCAGATTATTTCCACTTCACCAAGAATAAATCACTAAGTTCAGACTTGAACATCGTGGACAGAAAGAAAATGCCAAAAACTCGATTCACAAGTACTATTTCACAAATCACAATGCACGCAACCAGTCAGAAAAATAACTCCCTCGGCAGGCAAAATCGCCGACTTTTTTCCTCCCGATTCGAGAACACCAACTGCTTTTATTGGCCGAATGTTTTCTTTTCCATTCATCGACAGCTGGGAGAGGATGTTCAGTAATTTGCATATCAACATACTTTATAGAGACTCCTGCGATGGACTTGTTTTTTTTTAATTCAAATATTCCATTTTCAGCATGTCATGCTGAATATGTGCCCTTTTGTTTGGTAAGTAATTTTCTTTTTTGCCATAGAATACACGCGACACACTGTTGCTTGGTTTGACGAGGCAAGTCGCCGTTTTCTTCGCTATACTCCCCCCTGATCTCACTATCACAAATCGAACAGCCTGGAGCAGCTCTCTTTATCCTGGTGCTTCGTCGTAATGGCAATATTTCCCTTAAGCGTATCGGAGAGTCGTCTCCT